AAGATCAACGTCTGTTAAGTCCTTAGAGTTACTAAGTGATTATGAGAGAGGGATTAGTCACTGAAGGATTCACAAAGAGTAAACCTACAAGAGAGCTTTTTAACTCCTTTGAATCTCTTATAAGATACTTTTTCAGTTGGCGAGATAGCTCATGATTGAGCAAAATTCCTTATAGAGTGTTGAGAGAGAGAGAGGACATGTCTTTTGACATTTTGAGACACATGGTGTAACTGTCCCATGATTCTGGCAATCATTCTAAGAATTTTGTCAGTGTCTTAAAGTTGGAATATTCTCTTCCAACGGTCCTGAGGTCTATTAGTAGGCAGTTAAAGCGTTGATGTAATTTAAACAACAATTCAAGCTTTCCATAAATAAACTTTCATATTGTCTTACGAGGTTTATTTTTCTTTTTTCTTGTACCTCATTGGTACATTCATATTGAACACACTATGTGTCCCACATGGATTTGGAGGTTTTAAGCTTCATTACAGAATGATATACCTCACTAGGAAGAGACATGGCTATGATAGATCTAGTTTTAGTATCAAGAGCCATTTTCTTCTTGTCTTCATCACTCCATTGTTGAGGGAGCTTTGGAATCTGCCTTTCAGGTATGACAGCAGTGGTAGTAGTGGCAGGAACTGCTGAAGATATTGCAAATGGAACATATGGTCCATTTTCAACATAATAAGGGATCTCAGGATCCACACCTTATCGAAATAAAGACATTCGATTTTTCCAAAGACTAAATTTGTCCCTGCTAAGTCTGGGAGTTTGGCAAGAAAGCCATTATCGTGATAGTTTGTGTTTATGTTTTCCGAAGCCATTAAAAATGGTGAGTAGATTATCTTAAAGAAGAGATAATAAACACTACTCTGATACCACTTTTTGGTCCCAAACGGAGATACAAGAGTTTTAAAGGTAATAGTTTGTAGAAGGGGGATGGATGCATACAAACACACAATTTTCACTTTTTAAATTAATTTATTGATAAAATAAGATCAATAGAGAATTTACAGGTTACTGCGGAAGAAGATAAGGTCAAGATCTAATCTAAACAATCTAAGAAACACACAGATTGCATAAGGAGATAAGAACAAGAGAGAAGAGAGTTAGAAGGAGAAGAAGGTGCTTGTTGAGAAGAGGAGTTTTCTTAGCTATTTATACCAATTGCATTTAATGCAAGGCAGAGGATACAAGCCACGTTGCAAATTTATAGTGGAGAGCTTGTCCTTTGTCCTCAAATATGCAGACTTTTGGTCCCATATAAACATGTGTCCTTCTCAAAGTTGGTAAGAACGTTTGGAGACAATAAAGTAACTCCCTATCTGAACTTTTTTGATAACGTATAGGGTTGTCCTTTTTTTGCATGAGGATAAGACAAAAGCTAATCTTCCAGAGTAAGATTCATTTGATTGCTAACACTGAGTCATATCTAAAGATTCTTCAGTGTTCGCTAAGTTTTGGTCATATTTCACACTTCGATTTATACTTTCTTGTTATCACTAAATCCACTTCAGATCAGAAACTATTATGTCTCTGTCTTCAGCTATTTCTTCTACGTCGGTGAGGTTCCTTTGGTGTGAGTTTTGTCTTTGAGAAATACTTGTTTTTGAGAAGTTTACAATACATGTTCACTGATCACTGAACAGACTCAGAGATGATCACTGAAACTGAACAGAAGTAGAACAAACATATTTCACTAAGTATGGAGGGTCATCATCAAATCATTGAGAGAGTTCTGGAACAACGATCTCGTGTCTTGAGCAACTTCACATAAAAATAGATGCTCAGAAGAAGTTGGTCCACGCACTTGTTCATAAACCTTCTTCCCAAGATTCAAAACCGATCACCTTCACTCTTGAAGATCGAGAGAGAATGATAAATTGAAGAAAAGAAAAATCACATCAATCATATCTTTAGTGGCTCATCAACTCAACAGATAAGTTTCCATCTTTCTATGTTGTTGAGAGGGAGAAAATGTATATCTTCAACAATATATAAAGAGTGGTGGTCAAGAATTCCAATACAAAGGGGAAGAAAAACAAGAAAAACCGATCAAATCTGAGGGGGGAAACCAACATCCGAAGAATGACAAAGATAAAAAAACCAATGACTCTTGAAGAAGAACCTATGGAGCGAAGACAAAGAAAAGAAGAAACTAGAAGAAATCAATCATCAGATCATCTTCACTTTCGACCACCAAGGTTTGGCTGACTTTATGTAATGACTTACTTTATAGTACATTCGTTCTAACGATATGATGTGAATACATATCTTATGTCTAGTTAAATCTTATCACTATGTATTTACTTATTATGTTGTTTTGCAATCTGATCAAAAGAAAAGAAAAGAAAACAAAAATATGGAGGAAAACAAAAAATAGAAGAAAACAAAACAAAAAAAAAAGAAAAAACCATATAAAAGAAAAGAACATAAAGAATAAAAGGAAAAAGGAATCCAAAAATAGAACACTGAATTTATGAGTTTGGATTTTAATTTTTGCTTATGAGTTTTGGTGCCATTTTTTCTAAGTGTTTATATTAGGATTGTCTATTTGTATTATTAACAAATTGGGAGAGATTATTGGTCTCAACCATCGGATTTGATAGCAATATACATAGCATACGATCACACACATAGAAAGGAAAGTTCTAGTTTTCCTTGTATTACAAAAACCACATTCGATGAACTTCATTCATCGGATAATATCTCATCTTGGTATCATTCAAACCTGTTATTTTAGGTTTCAGATATATCAATCATCGGATCCTTGGCATAAGTTAAATGTTTAACCAAATTATCATCCGATTCTAAAAATTCGATTGGTTTTATTAGAAGAATGATATAACATAAAATGTTCTAAAGTATACCAAGTTATCTTTCATATGCGATGAAGCATCTTCATAAAGTTTCTATAGTTAGAAATCCGATATATATAGCTTGTATTTTAGATATAGAAAAAGATATAATTTTTTACATGTAAAAGTCTTAAAGCTATCTGTATTGATCCAAGAGCAAAATGTCTTCAACAAAATCGAAGACTAGTTGAAGTGGGGTCAAGACTGTCAACAAAGCAAATTGGTATGCCATCTAGCCAAAATAAGATCAATACAAATAAAGTCAACAAGTAGTGTGATATACTACTACTAGCAAGCCGAATCTTGAAGTACAAACTTGGCCAACCATTTTGGCTCACCAACTCTCTTACTCCCTTCTTGGTATGAGAACATGTATAACATGTCAGCCAAAGCAAGAAAAAAAGCACTATTAATTAGTGCCATACTTACTTTAATGTCCACTCGGTATATAGAAAGATGAGATAAGTTAACAAATTGTCTACACCAAATGCAAAGGTTGAAATGAATAGTAGGATGCATGGATCAGCTAACTAGAAGAAGACACACATTAACGTTGGAAAAATGCATTTAAGTAATGGTGGCTATAAAAGGTTATCGTTGTTATTCAATGCAACTCACCTGAAAGAAAATCCGTTTGAGTGTTTCTTAAACAAAATCGACATCATCCTCTGAAGAACTTCCTTAGTTCTTCGGATCTGAAAGAGTGCTTTCTCCACCCACTCTTTCAGTGTTAACAAATTTGTCACAGCCATATTATTTAGGATCACAGGTCTTAACTTCCAAGCTTCTGTAACAAATCTGTAACTCTTTGTTTTATATAAAATATAAAATCTAAAACTAAAAGTGAAAATCTACTATGTTTGTATTCAACCCCTTTTACAAAAACTTCTCGTGTAAGTTATCACTTCCAACTTCCAAGACCAACAATTTTCATTTAAGCATTATTTAAAAAATTGTAATTAGTTGACGTTTGTTCTTTTTTGAGAGTAAAGCTCGTATTTTGATATTGTATACCAAGATTTTGCAGTTTAACTTTCCTCCTATTTTTAGGGGTGTTACACCAAAAACAACCAAATATCTTAATAGACTATTTTATAGGACTTAGAATTTGTAGAACCAAACATATACGTGTCATATTTAAAAATATTGCATTAAGTTTATATGACACATTTGGACGTCTTAACAAGTTTTTTAGGAGACTTTTGAAATAAAATGTCCTATTTGGTTTTTTTTATTAGACCATATATATAAAATGTTCTACAAAAACAATTGTTCTATAAAAATATGTGTTTATAGTAATTTCTCAAAAGTGTTCTATAAAAAGCTACTAGAACATTTTATTTAAAAAATGTATAAAAAAACTATTGAAGACATTCAAAAACGTCGTATAAACTTATTGCAACATTTGTACATAGGTTATCAAATTGTTTGACTTCAAGTTTACCTACTACGGTACCAGAATGAACATGATCTCCGCCGAACATACGTAACGCTTTAGATTGTACACGAAAGTGGATACCATGTTTTAAAACAGTCTACTAGAATATTTAAATTTTATTTAATAGAAATTGTACATTTTATTAATTAATTCAATTAGAATTAGATGAGAATTACATGATTTATTTGATCATTTACATATAAATATGTAATCCACAAATGATCTTTGTTCAAGTACCTACTTGGAAAATATATGAAAAGGCAGTGATATTTTGGACATTTATAAGTTTTTGTTAAGCATTTGTATAAAATTATATGTTAATAAAATGATATATTTACTTCATATGAAATCAAATAAATACTTTCATTTCAACTAAGGGTCCATTTACCTAAATGTTTATCCGGTAAGCGCTTACCATTAGAAGTCAACACTGCAATTTATTTTACCGGATAAGATTGTAGTACATCAAAATGGTATTGTATACAACAATTTACCCGGTAAGCGCTTACCCGGGTACGAGTCGTCACCATCACTTACCGAGTAAGACTCTTCATCTTTTTCATTGCTCTTACCGGGTAAGATTTTTGACGATTGTCATGTTCATCCAGTAAGAAAAATTACCCAGTAAGTACTTATCGAGTAAGCATTTAGTGAACGGCCCCTAAGACATATATCAAATTGGATGTTGTAATATTATTGATCATGTTGTACAAGTACACAAAGAAAAATATAATTCAAATAACAAAATCACCTTATTTGTATATTGTGACATCAAGACTCGATTATTTTGCCTACGTACGAAACATTGAACTTGAAACAAAACAGATGTAGAACATGAAGTAAGTATAGCATCAAAATATACTGTCAATGAGATCTTTAGTACCAACGGAACATCGGCATTGCAAAAAATTTCATCCCAGATTTACAATGGAAACCTTTGCTTTCACCACAAGCAAAGTAGTATGGCTTCCACTTATTAAGCACAAACTCAAACCCCTCGCCTCCACCCTGTGTCGTTTTTATCACTTGTTTCGCCCATCTCAGATCGCACCTTATAAAGCTCCATAGGTTTGGTAACAAGTAGACACTGTGCGGATGCGTATTATTAATACTTGGAGGATCAAACTTGAACACTGCAATACCATTTGTTTCAATGTTAAATCATGATTATTCCATAAGTAAATATCATTCATAATTATATATACGGACATATAGTAAACAGAGATGCGTCTTATTCCATATTATTTTACATGGTTTTTGTTCATTACCAGTAAATAAGGTCAGCATCGGTGCAAAACCTAACTGCTATACGTTAAATAAAAAAGAAAGGATGAAGTTTCTACATGCATTAGAAAGATACATACCAAGAGTGTCATTAAAGAAGAATGGGGCGTTTTTCATAGCCCATTCAGTGTAGTTAAAGCCAAAGCGCCAATTATCAGATCCACCGACGACGATTCTCCTAGAACTCTGAGTAGGATTCGAATGTCTGGGTGGCCAGTTCGTATAATTAAAACCAAAATTCCAATTTTGGGCACCCTTTTGAAAATCCCTATTGCTCATTCCCATACCCAACATTGAAGCAATTAAGACTAGTGAAAGGAGCAATTGAAGATGATTCAATGCCATTTGATTGAACGAATATGAAGAAATGAAATTTGTATTTGGTTTGTGATTTGTGAAGTTGAGACAAACAGGGTTTATATAGGGTACTTAAAGTAACTACCCATTTTTTCCAATTGTTAGTGAAATTACTTAAATACCCTTCTAACAATAAACATAATACTATATTTTTTTTTGAATTTAACCCTGATTATATGACCAATTATATATACCATTTTTTATTTTGTCAGAAAAAATTCTCTTAGGACCTATTTTAACAAACGAATTAATTAAGTCCAAATTTTGAAAAGATGAATAAACAGGTTTATATAAAAAAAAATACTGTAAATATTTCGAAAGAGGCTATACTGACTAAAAAAACTGTATCTTTACAAAATTCATACCAATCTACTGAATTATTTGAATTTTTATGTAAAAGATTTATAGACGGAGTTAACCCATTTCGATAATATATCCATATGATGATGAATAGATAAGTAATAATGACTTAAAAATTGATGAAAATGGGAGTAAAAATTGTAATTTTTATGGAATGGAATACAAAAATAATAAAGAAATGGGATTGGGCCTAATTTTTGGTAATTGGTGGGTTGGTATCATAAGGTTGAAATATTGTTCACTTTGAAAGATTCTTCCTTTCAAAGTCTCCCACTTTTTTATTCTGATCTTATTTTAAAATTAAAAGAAAACGATTATTGTTTATTTGGGTTCTAATGATTTTATTTTTATTATTTAATTTGTTCGATTAATTCATCGACATTAAGGGATCGTTTACTTAATCACTTATTTGGTAAGTACTTAACAGTAAACTTTAACTCTATCGCTTACTAATCGGGTAAGAATTTAGTGTACCAAAACGACATTGCATGTAACAATTTACCTGATAAACGTTAGCTGTGGTAAGAGTCGTCGTCATCACTTACCCAGTAAGACTTGCGGTCCGTGCCTTCACTCTTACCAGGTAAGATTCTTGGTCCTTGTCATATTTATCCGATAAGGGAATATGACTTGTAAGCACTTACTCGAGTAAACATTTGGTAGATGACCCTAACACTTTTATTTTTGTGTTTTTTTTAATGTAATCTTTTATGATATAAATAACTAACTTTTTCGTTTTCGATGGAAAATTTTGTGAACTATATTTTTAAATTAAAAAAATCATTAAACTTTCTTATTTTGAATGATTAAATTTTTGAATTATTTTTTAATAAAAAAACCATTAAATTTTTTTCATTTTGAATGATTAAGTCACTGAACACTTTTTTTTTAAATAAAATAAACCATCGAACTTCTTAGAAATTGGTTATTTACAAAATTTTAACCCAAAACAAAGCCATTTGTAACCGAATAGGAAGGTTTCAAAGTAAACCAAAATCAATTTTACCATTCCTAAACCTTACGACATTCAAACCCCAAACATCGTATCACTCCTCCTCTCCCGATCGTTGTCTATTCTCCATATCGCCTATCATGTTGTTTTCCCCTGCCATCGATGATAGATAAAAACAGATTGAAGTGAGGGAGATCGATAATGGGGGCCAACCGTGTAATAGGGGATACGTAGAATAGAGAACGACGGGGCGACGAGAAATGGCGAGGTGAGTGATAACGATGTTTGCATGGGGTTTGAATGACATACGGTTTGGAAACGTTAAAACTAATTTAGATTTCCTTTAGTTAATTAAAATCTTTTTGGTCGGCTACAAGTAGTTTTTTTGAATTAAAATGATGTAAGTAACCAAATTTTAAAAGTTTGATAGTTTTTATTTTATTGGAAAAAACGTTCAGAAACTTAATAAATCAAAATAAGAAAGTTTAATGGTTTTTTAATTTAAGCAAATAGTTCAAAACTTAGTTATTTAAAATGGTTATTCTGAATTTTCTCCTGTAAACAAAATTATAACTTTTATCAACATACTAAATATATATATATATATATATATATATATATATATATGCGCCTAATCAAATGAGAACTAATTAGTTTGTAGTAATTGTGAAGTCCAATATGAATCAATCATTTTATTATATTAATTGTATTACCTTAATTAAGAAAAAGGTATATTAGTAATTCCTTAAAGGTTATCAATCAAAGAGATTGATATTGTTTTCTAATTAATCAAACAAATTATGGAAGTTTCTTTTTATGAAGTTACAATTAAGAAAATAAATATATAATTTCTTACTATTAAAAGTTATTAGGTATTGCAGTGGTAACATAGTGGTATCACAGTTGTATTCATCAACCAGATTTGATATCATAGTGTTGTATCACAGTATATTTTTGTCATTATACGAAGTGTATCATAATATATTTTTGTTGTTTTACGAAGTGTAACACAATATATCAGGTAATGTTTTCTTTACCAAGTGTATCACACAGTGTTTTTTTGTTATTTTATGAAGCGTATCACAGTGTGCATCATGTGTTGATATGATGTTAGTTGGAAATAGCTGAGAGGAGAGAGGAGAAATCTAGAATGACTAAAATACCCTTAGTTAATATTTTAAGTTAAAGTTACCAAAATTATTAATTTCGTAATTTAACATTTGATTTGTGGTTGATATTGGATCTCACGGTTACCACAAACTAATCAGTTATTTCTTGAATGAGCTCATATATATATAGGGGAGCGATCAAATGCAAACCACTCAATTTGTACAAACCATGCAAACCGCATTCAACCAATCATAATTTTTCATTTTGTTCATATTTTTGTAATTATGGGAGGTTGATTAATCATTTTTATTGTGGAGGGTGTTAATCATAGATATTATCATCTTCATTATTTTAATTTTAGAGAAATACATGAAACAGTTTCATTAATGTTAGAGAAATACATGAAACAGATTCATTAAGTATTATATGAAACAATTTCACAACTATATATGAAACAACTTCATCAAAAAAAGTATTATATGAAACAATTTCACAAGATTAAACAATTTAATGGAAAAATTTCATAAGATTAAACAATGAAATCGACAGATGAAGGTGGTTTGCACGGTTTACACAAATGAGGGCGGTTTTCATATGATCACTTCTCTCTCTCTCTCTCTCTCTCTCTCTCTCTCTATATATATATATATATATAGGAGCATTCAAATAAAAACCGGTCTCATTTGTGTAAACCGTGTAAACCAATCTCATCCATCCATTTTCTTGATCAATGACCAAAATTAATTTACTTTATTTTAGAAAATTAAATAAATATATATATTAAAAATTTATTTTATTTCAATAGTAAAGGCATAAAAGGTAAATAAAATTTAATATTTGGTAACATTCTACTCGATCTTTCATTAATTTTTTTCATGCAAAATTATTTTCTTCTAAGATTAGTTTACTTTCATGAATCTTTTTTCATGAACAATTATTTTCTTCCTTTCGTTCCTGGTTTGATGCATTAATTCCTTTAAGCCTTGCAATCTTAAAGATTCTAAAGCATATTACAATCTTCAAGATTCTGAAGCAGTTTCTTCATGTACCCGTTTCATCATTCAATTATTTCATAACGAACCAAATACATTATGCAACCGTTTCACTAGTCATGCTCATGAACGCCATGAACCAGTTTCACTTACATGAAACCTATTTCATGTACAGTAATTTTCTTATCTCACCATTGATTTGATGGATTCATTCATTTAAGTCTTACAATCTTCAAGATTCTGGAGCAGGTTACAATCTTCAAGATTCTGGAGCAGGTTACAATCTTCAAGTTTCATCATGCACTTAATTCATGACGCATCAAATACAAAATGCACAGGTTTCATTTTCCTCTTCACCAACTAAATGGATCAACTACACAATCAATGCAACGGGTTCACCATGAAAATGTTTCGGTTTACATAATTTATTTGCAACATGAACCAGTTTCACGTTCATGAAWCYTGTTTCATTTCTGGATTTTTTTTTGTTCATCTACAATTTGATGATTTCATTATACACTTTAATTGTTTGATTTTTAAAGATTACAATATATGAAATTCAAATTTTTAATATTATAATATAATTAAATATTTAAATGTTACCATTTATACAATTTCCTTTATTACGTTTCCTAAATTAAGATTTATTAATAACTTTCATATTTAATAGAAAATATTGTAAATGACTGAAATACCCTTATTGMTTAATTTTAATTAGAAAAAAATGAAATTTTCCTATTGATCGAAATTGGTTTACACGGTTTCTTAGAAATACACGGTTTTCATTTAAACATGTATATAAATATATATATTTACATATAATATTTGGTACTTAATTTCTCTAAGAAAATTCAATATGTAACTTAGATATTTTCATAGAAAGAACATGATTATAAAAATAAAAAAATAAAATAAAATGATTTTATTTTCAAGAGATAATTTTTTAATTAATTAGATCATAACCACAAATATTGTTTCAATCGTCCGATTAATTGTCAACCCTCATCATGTACATGTGTTGGAATTTTTTAATGGTAAAATAAAGAGGTGAATTGAAGATGATGGGATCCATGACATCATGTGTTGGTGTCCAATACTTGCTAAGGTTTCATAAACACAAATACTCAATCCGGATCTAATCAAATCACATCAAACCCATTATATTTGGTTTGGTTTGGTTTTTGGTTCAATCATTTAAATCAACCAATCTTATTATATTTTGTCACATATAAGATGTATATATCATACTTTCCAACCAAACCCTCCTCCATATGAGTTTGTTTCTTTTGGTTTTGGCTTCAATAATTTCAGTTCGAAACTAAAACAGTGGAAATGTTTTCTTCAAACATTAAATGATACTATGGTTTGTTTATATTTTTCAAATTAAAACTAACTTGAATACATATTCAAGTCACAATTTGGTTTGTGATGAAACCAATATATCTAGATGGGTTCGGTTTTCAGTTCCATAATTTTTTAATTTTTTCGGATTTGATTCCGTTCCAGTTCTATCCAAAGGTGGGAAGACCCTTCGTAAATATGTCAACATACTAAGAATTGGAAGGGACATGGAGAACTCGAACAAGACCCACGGCAACTTTGTCCC